AAAAAAAAAAGAATGCTTTGCTGTGATGACAGCCCAAATTTAAAGGCCCAAAGTTTCTGTTGTCTGGAAGGGTCCAGGGACAGAGGGTGGCCCTGAGCCTCAAAACAGACCTTGGGGTGCCAGACATGATGCCCTCACCTGTAATTCTAGCACTTGCGAAGCTGAGGCAGGAGGACTGCCAGGGCTTTGGGCTACATAGTGAGTCTGAGGCCAACCTGAACTGCAGAAAAATAAAAATAAACTGTGAAAGGGGAAAAAAAAAAAAGCCTTCAGCCGCTCAGGGATGACTGAGGCGGCCGGAAGGAGCACAGGCCTCCTCACATCCTTCTGTCCTGCCAGGGCATGTGTGGAACGGAGCCTGCCCAGCGCCTTCCTGTCCTGCCCGGGCAGGATTTTCTACACCAAGAGCATCCTGGGCGTGGTTCTCCCTGGGAAGTCTCAACATGCTCAGCTCAGCTCAGCGGGACTTAGGGGAACTCCGGCCAAGCCTGCTGTCCCAGCAAACAGACCAGACACGGGGACAGCACGGGTGCTGGGCCTGGGCCCGCAGCCAGGCCAGGCCAGGCCTAGGAGGACACGGGGGTGGGGGGGAGGCCTCGGGGGAGGTGGTGGTGAGACGGAGATTCAGGCCAGGCCCCATCACTCGGTGTTGGCCGGCAAGTGTCTCAACCTCTCCGGGCCTCATTTCCTCCTACTTGGAGTCCCAGGTCTGTCCGACCTGCAGCCTCCAGGTGAGGAAAGCTGGTCTTAGCTGGATGGTGCTGCACTGAAGAAAGAGGGAAGAGAAAGAAGAGGGAGGTCGGCAAGGAAATGCTTTCTTTCTCTCCTTGCTCTTCTGAACTTCATTTCCTTTCAGTGCAAGGGGCATCTGGGGAGATGGCTCAGTAGAATGAGCGCTTGCCTGGCAAGGGCCTGAGTTCAATCCCCGCTTCAGCCAAAAAAAGTGCAGAGGGATGAATCGCAGGCCTCTGGCATCCGGCCAGTGCTGACCACTGACCCAGCCTGCCTCGTTGCAGCCCAGAGAGGGCAAAGAGTCTGACAGGCTCCGAGAGCCGGGTTCCATGGCTGCATTTCTAAAGTGTTCTTGGTTCTCTGGTCTCCCCCTGTGGTACCCGGGTGCCTGGGACAACCCGCCCTGCCACACCGGCCTCCACTGGGCCTCAGTTTCCTCATCTGTCCAGTCAGGGTGGCGTGGGCCCAGTGCCAAAGCCCTGAGGAAGGGAGGCACACATGGAGCCTGGTTGTGTGCAGGGGGTAGGGTTGTGGGTGTGGGAGACACCGACCTCCCCTGGGAGCCCCAGCCAGCCAGCCCCAGCCTGCTGCTACCTCCCCCATGGCCGGCCGCCAGGCTGCCATTTGAAAGGTGTCCTGTTGGTGGCACTTTGGCGAGGCTCAGGTGTTCTGGCGGCTGTGGCTGTGCAGAGTAGATTTGATTTGTGCATGACAATGAGCTCTCTCTCTCTCTCTCTCTCTCTCTCTCTCTCTCTCTCTCTCTCTGTTGTTCTTCACTTGAGGAACTAACTCAATGCCAAGAGCTCAGCACAAACCCCTCCCAGATCCTCCCTGCCATCCACGACAAGAGGCCAGGCCAGGGGTGGCCCCAAGGCCGGCAGGATCACACTGTCCCACCCTCCAGGCAGAACAAGCAGTGCTGTGCCTGCTCTGCAAGGCAGCCAGCATCTTTGCCTCCAGGAAGCCCTCAAGGCTTGGTTCTTTTCCGAGCAGAGGGACCCCATACCAGGGCCACCCTGGCTGGAAACCTGGGGTCCATCCTGCCCGCTACTCAGCCAGTCAGTTGTGTCACCCCAAGCTGGGGAAGGCCTCTGATGCGCGGCCCCAGCCGCCTCCCGCCTCCCGAGGTTAGGCTGCTGGCGGCCTCACACGGTCTGCGGCAGGCGGCAGGCCATTCCCCTTCCGGGCTGTGGGCAGGGCTGGCAGGAATGTTTGCAATGCTGAGCCAGGGAGGGAGGAGGCGAAGAGGGAGGGCCACGGGTGGGTGGCTGTTGAGCAATCCCCTGCTGGTTCCTGTAACTTCCCCCATCACTGCCACAATCACCCAGGGAGGAGAGGGACAGACTGAGGTCAGAGTTGATAATGGGGCTCTCAGCGAAGTAGTGTAGGCAACTCAGCCACCTGGCCCAGAGAGGGCAGGGCCTGGACCACAGTCACACAGCTGGACACCAGTGCCTGTGGCCTTTCTGTCCCCACGGCACCCAGCTACGACTCACAGACCTCGTGGAGATGGCCTTGCACCCTCTGAGACACTCTGAGGATGAAGGGCCCCCAACACCCAGCCTAGCTTTTTCCTCCAAGCCCCAGGCCCTTGGGGAGCTCGGTGGCTGCAGGGGAGTGCCCCTCCTCCTGCTGACCAACTCACCACTGCCCCTTGGCCTGGAATGTTTGTGCTTCCTAGCTACCCCTGCTCCTCTTCCAGCATGCAGGAAGTTAAGAAGGACAAGCCTGTGTGGCCCCCAAGCCCCTCCCCCCCAGTTTCTTCCCAGCAAGTCCCTCCTCCCCCACCCACACCTCCCTGCCAGCTGTAGCCCCACACCGGTGTTGGGGTGGGGTCTCCAGTCATAGAGACCCCTGCCCATCCTGGCTCTCCTCCCTTCCAGCTTCAGCCTTGGTACTTCTCCCCAGGCCTCGTTTGTTTCCTCATTTGTTCAGAGGATTCTGATGCGCCAGAGGTGGCTGCCCAGGCTCCTCACCCCGACCTTGCCAGGTGTGTCTGTCAGGAGACCCCATGCCAGATTAGCAGGGAGCAAAGGGGCTTATCCGTGGGCTCTTGGGGTCACAGTCCCTCCCCGGCAGAGCTAGAGGTTCCCAAGAAAATAAGCCAGGCATGGCGGTGCACGCCTGTAATCTCAGCACTCAGGAGGCTAGGGCAGGAAGATCAGCACAAGTCTGAACTACATAGCTCGACCCTGTCTAAAAAAGAAAAAGAAAAAAAAAAAAAAAAATCAAAGACACCCCAGGTTACAGGTGAGGATTCTGAGGTGGAGGGTGACCTGTCACACATGTCATGCGGATTTAACCCAGGACGCCACAACAGACCCCCGTAGCCCTGGACGCTCTGCCCAGCCCACTTCTGGAGTGCAGACCACCCTAGGCAGAGCCCAGTGCCCCACAAGCGGGGGCGGGAAGCACCAACCCCCACGCCGAAGGACACCCTGGCTGTGAACTCGGCCTCAGCCTCCAGGGCACTGGCGCCCCGTCCCTCGCCCCAGCCCAGTGCCTCTGACGGATGGATGGGTGGATGCACGACGCACGGATGCGCGGACGCCGCCTCCCGCCTCTCGGGAGCCCCGGCGGGCTGTGGCATCGCCACCTCCTCTAGAGCAGGTTTCCTTTAAGAAAGCAGAAGATTGATTTCCTGGCAGGCTGTGCGCGGAGCCCGTCCAAATGGTTTGCATGTCTGCATTTTTTACTGCTCCGTTTAATATGTATGCAAATGCCGGCCGGCTGCGCCCGCCGCGCCAGGCCCAAGCGCACGCGGCGCCTCATCACGCGGCCGTCCCGGGCGCGCGCCTCATTCGAGGCGACGGGCTCGGCGGCCCTGATAGATGGAGTGTGGGGACGGAGACAAATGACGGGCTTTGTAATCTCGTTCTCTTTTTCTGGAGGGGAGAAAGGGAGGGGCTCGAGCCCGGGAACCCGCAGAGGCGATCTCAATATATGCAAAATTGTGGGTTCTGGGGGGCACAGCCGGAGGATGGGCGTTTTGCTGGAAGGAGCCTGGCTGGAGCAGGTGGGAGGAAAGTGCCCCGGCGTCCAGCCCTGCCACGCCAGGAGGTGATGGAGGCGGCTGCCCTGTGAGCCCCCCACTTGCTTTCCTTGGGCCTCTAGGGTTGTGACCTTGTAGTGTGTTGTCCCCTAAACTCCCATGCCTGGCCCTACGAGGTGAGGGTCACAAGCATTGTGTAGATGGGGAAACAGGCTGGGGGAGAGATTCCCGCGGACGCTGTCCTCGACCCTGTAGGCCTCTGCTGTACCCAGCTCTGGGGAGTATGCTCAGGCATGCATGCATGGGGCTACTTGCTCGTGCTTGTGCAGACCTGGTGCTGAGCTACGCCCCCCAGCCCTTTTATTTTGGCACCAGGTCCCCCAAGTTACCCAGGCTAGGCATGAATTTGTGATTGTCCCACCTCAGCCTCCCCTGTTGCTGGAGCAACAGGCATGAGGGAGCAGCCCAGAGGAAGTCAGAGAAGCCACAGACTTGGGGGTGTCACTGTCTCTCACCCTCCTGTCTCCCCCATTTTCTCTCTCTCTCAAGATTCTTTTGGAGCTGGAGTCCTCAGAGCCAGCCTCCTGGAAGTGTCCCCATCTGTCCCTGCATCACGGCCCCTCACCAGGAAGCTCCTGGTTCCTCACCACCCATCCATGCCTGTCCCACACCCCACACTCCCACCTCTCCAGTCTATCTTTTCTGTCTTAGGGAGCAGAGTCCAGGCTGGGATAGCAAGTGCAAGGGGCCTGTGGCTGGTGGCAGTGGTGGGAGGGGGTTGGAGGGACACACCCAGGCAGTGGAGTGGGGTGAGTGAGAGAAGAGGAAGTTGAGGGTGTCACTGGTTGGGGTTGGCCCAGGCAGTTCTGTCTCAGGCCTGGGTGGAGACTGCAAGTCCAGAGTCAGCCAGAACCCCACCTGCTTGATGGGATGTGGGTCATAGTCCCCAGTTACCTGGGAGTCACAGGCTTTGAGACACAGCAGCTCCAACACCCCCAGCAGCAAGGGACCTCTGCCTCGTCTTGCAGAAAGAGGTCCCAGGGATTGCACGGCCCTGGGATGTGGGCCCTGAATCCTTTTCCTGAGCTTTGGGGAAATGCAAATTAACCTCCAAGAGAACAGTGTGGTGGTGTTTGCCATCACCCCAGCCACTAGGGAGGCTGAGGCAGGAGGAGTGCAACATCAAAGCCAGCCTGCACTATTAGCAAGACCTGGCTCACAGTAAACAAGACCCTGTCTCAGAGTAAAACATGAAAAGGGCTGGGGTTGTAGCTCACTGTGAAGCCTTCAGGTTCCATCCTCAGTGCCACACTTACATAAAATAAAATAATAAAAAAATTAACGTGACCAGTCCTGTGGCATTTTTGTCTGGGTGTCTCGCCAAGGAATTGAGAGTAGGTCCGGACCTTGCCACCATGGGTCCAACCAGAGCCAGAGGCAAAGGGCGTCCCATTGCCCGGCAGAAGTTCCTCAGCCAAAGAGCAGGGCAGGGGCACCTGCACCCATGCCAGGCCCCGAGGATGTTAGCTGGGTCCGGAAGCCAGGCGCAGACAGACAACACAGCAGCGGTTCACTTCTGAGCGGGCCCTGGCACAGTCACAGTGGGGACAGAAAAGTAGGACGACACAGGCCATAGGTGCTGTCTGTCTGTCTGTCTGTCTGTCTGTCTTTGAGGTGCACCTCAGCAAATGAGAACTCACATTGTGATCAGCATGGGGACATGGGTGCTGGAGAGAGACTAGGGCACTCTGAGCCTCCTTTCCTCCTCATGAGCTGAGAGGAGAAAGATCCACTGTCTCACCAAGCACACAGGGACAACATTGAGGCTGGGAAGAGCCAAGGGCCTCGTCTGAGACTGCTCAGTGTCCTTTGCACTGACAGCTTCTGCAGCCAGCCCGCAGGAGCTGGGCTGGGCCTCCCCTGGGCTGAGCTTACCTGTGTCAGTCAGCAAGGCCCCGCTGTGCTGCAGTGACAAAGGAGCCCAGGTGGAAGCGCCTCAGCACCACGAAAGTGTGTCCTGCATCCAGCAAACTCTGCCAGGAGTCCAGGTGACCCCTACGGCTCTTGCCTAACAGACGGAGCCTTGGGGGTCCAGGTGTTCAGGGTGGCTGGTGGGAACCGTCTCTGATTGTGTCTCTGCTGCCGTGGTCGGGGCTGCTGAGATTGGCTCTATGCATCTGCACTAGATGGGTGTGAAGATGTCTGGGGTAAATGGCCAAACGTGGAGCTGTGTGTCCAGGGATGGCGTCTCCAGGGTATAGCAGCTTCTAAGGGGAGCTGCAGATGTACTGCAATTGGGGCTCCAGGACCAAGTGGGGAAGCTCTCTCCCCCAAGTTTTCAGATGGGACCCTGGGAAGAAGCAAAGGCAGCTGTCACCCTGCCCACCTGACTGGGTGCTCTGTGAGCCTCTGGGGTTGAGCACCCCAGCCCCTGCTGGAGCCCTGGGGTCCTTCCCCACTCGGTGTCCACTGGAAGCTTCCCTGGCTTCCTAGCAAGAGTCTGAGCCCTGGGTCCCTTCCTGGGGGCTTTCCTGCCAGCTCTTTGGCCCCTGTGACTATGTAGCAACCTACCTTTCCCTCCCTCATCTTCTTATCTGCCTTTCTCTGCAATAACATCCTGGTATTTACAATTTTATCTTTACCTGGGCTGGGGAGATAACTCAGTAGAGTAAGTGCTTGCCTGGCAAGCGCAAGGGCCTGACTTCAATCCCTAGTTCTGACAAAAAAGAAGAAAGAAGAAGAAGAAGAAGAAGAAGAAGAAGAAGAAGAAGAAGAAGAAGAAGAAGAAGAAGAAGA